TGTTAAAGAGGTTGTCTTTTTTCCATTGTATATCCTTGCCTCCTTTGTCGAAGATAAGGTGACCATAGGTTCGTGGATTTATCTCTGGGCTTTCTATTCTGTTCCATTGATCTATATTTCTGTCTTTGTGCCAGTACCATACTGTCTTGATGACTGTGGCTTTGTAGTATAGTCTGAAGTCGTGTCTGACTCTTTGTGATCCCACAGACTGCAGCACGCCAGGTCTCCCTGTCCATCCCTAACTCCAGGAGCTCACTCAAACTCATGTCCATTGAGTCAGTGATGCCATCCAGCCATCTCATCCTCTGTCGTCCCCTTCTTCTCCCACCTTCACTCTTTCCCAGCATTAAGGTCTTTTCAGAAGAGTCAGTTCTTCACATCAGGTGGCCAAAGTATTGGAGTATCAGCTTCAGCCTCAGTCCTTCCAATGAATATTCAGGACTGATTTCCTTTAGGATTGACTGGTTGGATCTCCTTGCAGTCCAAGGGACTCTCAAGAGTCTTTTCCAACACCATAGTTCAAAAGCATAAATTCTTCAGTGCTCAGCTTTCTCTATAGTCCAACTCTCACATCCAAACATGACTACTGGAAAAACCATAGCTTTGACTAGATGGACCTTTGTTGGCAAAGTAATGTCTCTGCTTTTTAATATCCTGTCTAGGTTGGTCATGACTTTTCTTCCAAGGAGCAAGCATCTTTTAATTTCTTGGCTGCAGTCACCATCTGCAGTGATTCTGGAGCCCAAAAAAATAAAGTGTCATTGTGTGCATTGTTTGCCCATCTATTAGAGATGAATTGATAGGACCAGATACCATGATCTTAGTTTTCTGAATGTTGAGTTTTAAGCCAACTTTTTCACTTGCCTCTTTCACTTTCATCAAGAGGCTCTTTAGTTCTTCTTCTCTTTCTGCCATAAGGGTGGTGTCATCTGCATATCTGAGGTTATTGATATTTCTCCTGGCAATCTTGATTCCAGGTTGTGCTTCATCCAGTCCTTGTGTTTAGCATAAACCAAAAAACATTCTTGGATTATTCTTTCTGTTAAATTTAACAAACTAGCAGACATATTTTCTCTGCCTCATTGTTATAGCACCCATTAAGTTTTCCTTTTTTCACTATTTTAAAAAGTTTGAAAACCAATGGGAGATGTTGATAGAACCAACTCCTCAGGTAAATACTACCAGGACAAAAAACTTTTTTTAAGCCAGAAATCAGATGGGTTATATATACAGTAGTCTGACAAATCCAGATATACAAATCCCTTTATTGGTTTGAGGGAGAACTAACTGTATTAACCCACTCCAGTATTCTTGCCTGGAGAATCCCATGGACAGAGGAGCTTGGAAGGCTACAGTCCACGGGGTCACAGAGTCAGACATGAATGAATGACTAACACTTCACTTTCTACTATGTTAAATAGGGGAGTTTCATGGTTAGAGTAGTAAGAAAAATCTTTAAGTTTTGAAGATATAAAATAGCAGATGTAGTAAAGGATAGGAAGGGTAAACTTATGCCACTCTTAGCACTGAATTCTTTTCCTCATCTTACTACCTATTTTATTTTCTCTGTTGATTAGACTCAGCTAATTTATTTTCAACTTGTTTTTTTACTCTCATTCTTTTGGTTGGGGGATCAGAAATAAGAAATCTGTGGATATAAAAGTGGAAAAGAGGTTCAAGAATTTGGTTTTGACTTTTGATAATAATGAGTATAAAAAATGTAGCAGATATTTCCTTTTTTACTACAATTTTGAAGGGAAACAAGAAGAAACTGTCATAAAAATCTATTTTTTTCATAGTGTATTGTTTCAAGCTTAAATTTATTTAGATCCAAATCACAGAAAAGCAGTGAAACACTTAATAGTAGGCAAATATATTAGGAACTGTCTCTTAAAATAAATATGCTTTAAATTAAAATGAAACTTATAATCCACAACTAATTCCTAAATATTTATTGGTGAATTGGTAAAGTACTTCACCAAAAATAATGCATTAATCTTTACTAACCTTGATTACTCAGTATTTAAATCATTTTTAAAAGACTTTTAGTCTTTTTTCTTCAGTTTAATAAAGTTCTTATAAGTTTGTTGGGAACTTGCTCTTATGGATAAAATGAAATTAGAGTTGACTCTAATAAGATACATGATATGTAAATTAGCTTATGAATTAATGATTAAGCCACTCACTTTATCCATTTGGTACTATAGGCAAAATGCTAAGGCCTGTGAGTTTCCAAGTGCCAAAACCAAAACACTGTTTACAATATGAAAAAATAAAAAATGATTGGCTCCAAGATATGGAAAAAGTAAAATTGATATGTATTTACACTTCTAAAAACAATGCAAAGGTTTAACTTGTTATATTCAAGAACATTTCGTTGCATGTGGAAAAAATGTTAGATTTTCTCATTTGCAAGTGCTTCTCATTAAATACGATGGTTCTCCAGAAATCACAATTGCTAGTTAATAAGCTACTCACAGTTAAGTAATTTCATAAGCAAAATTATAAAATTTCTTCCTAGAATTCTTTTTTTTTGCCATATGAATTTTTCACTTGGCAGTATGCCAACTGCATGTTTTGCAGTGGAAGGTAATTTACTTGTTTACCTAAGCACATGTGTCTTTGTTCTCTTCCACAGTAACTAATAATTCCTTCAGAAGGCAATGGATATCACTGGGGGTCTCACTGAGAAATGAAAATTCAACCTTTTCTCCCCTGGTCACAGCTGATGGAAAACAATAAACCAAGATGGACCAATTTGCAGGAGCGTCTGTTTTTATTTCCTCTCCCACCCTGAGGCACAGTTTTGCCGCGTCAGGGCCCTTGACTGAAGACAGTCAATCTGAGCTCTCATCAACTCCCCGAGTTCTTCTCCACAGCTCTCCCCACCACCCACTTGGGTTTATAGCCTAGGCCCCTAGCGGCTGGGGATCTGCATCAACTGCTGTCACTCAGGGAAGGATCTGTGTGTGGCCTGTGTTCCTCCTCCTGGCCCTTCTCTCTGGACTTGGCTGGCTGCATGCAGATCTCAGTTAATACACCTATTTGCCTCCTCTCCCTGCCCACAACTGCAGAACCAGGGCTAAGGGAAGCTGTGCTTGCTCAGGCCTCACATTCTGCTTGCCACCTTTCTCTTGCCCCTCGGTTGGGTGACCCGCAGGGTCCTGGAAGACAGAAGGACCCAGGCAGCTTGGGCTTTGGTCTCAGGAGCAAAGATTAATACCTTATCAGAGTTTGATATGAAGATTGATAAATTGAGTTAGGAAATATATCTCTCATTTTCCTTTTTCTGAAACTATGTATTAAATTGTTCAGTTTTTCAATAAATATTTGGCAAAATTCATCAATGAAACTGGAGTTTTCTTTGTGGGAAGATTTTAAATTATGGATTCAATATCTTTAACAGAGAACTATTTAGACTTTCCATTTATTGTGATTTTTTTTTTTCAGAAGTGGTAATTTTAAAGCAGCTTATCCATTTCATTTAATGGTCAATCTTTCGACATAAAGTTGTTCATAATATCCTTTACAGTTATGTCCCTTTTTTCATTCCTAACTATGGTTATACTATATGCATCTTTGTTTTCTGCTTCATTGATTTATGTCTTAAAATTTGCTCATTTCCTAGATTCTTGAGGTGAAAGTTTAGCTCATTGTTTTTAAATCTTTTCTAGTGTTTGCTTCGGCAGCACATATACTAAAATTGGAACGACACAGAGAAGATTAGCATGGCCCCTGCGCAAGGATGACACGCAAATTCGTGAAGCGTTCCATATTTTTTAGTAACACAATAATAGTAGGAGACTTTAATACCCCCACTCACAACTATGGATAGATCGACTAAACAGAAAATGAACAAGGAAGCACAAACTTTAAATCTTTTCTAATTCATTTAGAGATACATATTTGCTCTATGAATCTCTTTAGCTATATCTCATAAGTTCTGATGTGTTAGTTTGATCTCAGAATTATGGATTTCTTGGAAGTATGTTGTTTTATTTCTAAATATTTGGATATTTTCAGTTTCATCTTTTCTTAATTTAGTCATGGTCAGAGAACATACTTGCATAATTCTCATACTCTGAAACTATTGTTTTGCTATGATCCACTCTATGGTCTATTTTGGTGAATGTTCCATGTGCACTAAAAATGTACGTTTTGTAGTTGTCAAATATGTAAATGTCAAGTAAAGCTTATTAACATTCTTTTTGAAATCTCATATATAAATGAGATTATACAGTATTTATCTTTCTGTGTCTTATTTAACTTAGCAAATGTCCTCTGTGTTTATCCATGTTGTCACAAATGGCAGGATTGAGAAAGGGCAGGAATGCGTAGAGTGAGATTTCCTTTTTTTTCACAGCTGAATAAATATATCATGTTTTCTTTATCCATTTGTCTGTTATGGACACAGGTCATTTCCATATCTTGGCTATTGTGAATTATGCTGCAAAGAACACGGGTATGCATATATTTCTTTGAGATACTGACTTCATTTACTCCTGATATATGCCCAGAGGTAAGACTGCTGGATCATATGGTATTCTATTTTTAATTTTTGAGGAACTGCCATACTGCTTTCCCTAATGGCTGTACCAGTTTATATTTTTTCTTCCACAGCATACCACAATTCCAATTTCTCCACACACACACTTGACAATACTTGTCCTGTTTATCTTTTTGGTAATATCCATTCTAAAAGTTGGAAGACTTTATCTTGTTGTGGTTTTTATTTGTATTCCCCTGATAATTAGTGATGTTCAACACTTTTTCATCTATCTGTTGGTAATTATATGTCTTCTTCAGAAAAATGTCTATTCAGGTCATTTTGCCCATTTTGTAAGTGGACTATTTGTGATTTTTTTTTGCTATTGAGTTACATGAATCCAAATATACTTTGGTCATTAACCCCTTCTCAAATATATGATTTGCAAGTATTTTCCCATTCCATAGGTTGCTTTTTCATTTGTTAACTGTATCCTTTGCTGTGAAGAGCTTTTTGGTTTGCTATAACGAGAGAAGAGAGTGACAAAAGAACTACAAGACAAATACAAAACTGTTAATAAAATAACAATAATCAATCCTTCTCTATCAATAATTACTTTAAATGAAAGTGGGTTAAACTTCTCAATGAAAAGATACAGAGTGGCTGAATGATTAAAAATGAAAGCAAACTCCCACTGTATGCTATCTACAGGAAGCTCACTTTAGATTGAATGTATCCATAGGCTGAAAGTGAGAGGAAGAAAAAGATATTTCCCACAAATGATAACAAAAAGAAAAGAGTGGTTACATTTAAATCAGATGAAGCAGACTTCACATTGAAAACTGCCTCTAGAGACAAAAAAAAGATCATGACAGAATGATTAAAGGGTAAATTCAACAGAAAGATATAACAGTTGTAAATATACATACACTCAAAATCAGAGCACCTTAGTGTGTAAAACAAGTATTGACAAATCTGAAAGAAGAAATTGACAGCAATGCAATAATAGTAGGGGATTTCAGTACCCCATTTTAAATAATAGGTAAAACACACAGAAAAATCAATAAACAGCACACTTGAACAGCACTACAGACAATGTGGACCCAACAGGCATATACAGAACTTTTCACCCAAAGCAGAAGAATGCACATTCTTGATTATACATAGAACATTCCCCAGACAGTCCAGAAAACAAGTCTTAAATTTAAGAAGATGGAAACCATAACGAGCATCTTCTGCTTTAGATTAATATTTTCTCGTATGCTATGTGATCTGCTCCCGTTGAGGCTGCATGCAGTTTTTCCCTGCCTGAGCTATTGTAGTTGTGGAACATGACCAGGCAAGAAAGCTACACAAACTCTTAGTTCTTACTAGATGTAGTCTTCTAAGAGTAAATTCTTTTCAAGTTTGTGTCTGCCTTTGGTCATTTTCCAGGTCCTTTGGGTTTTTAAAGGTATTTTGCCAGGCATTTATAATTATTTTCTGTGTGAGGAATCAGACTACACATTAGTGTAACCTTTACCAGAAGTCATCCCCAGGACTGGACTTGGTGAATCACAGAATATATTTAAAAAAATATTTCTTGGAAAACTACCAGATTGTTCTCTGGAATGGTTACTACTGCTTACATGCCTACAAACCAAGTCTGATGTTTCTCCTCATTCTTACCTTCACTTGGTGCTATTCACCCACTAATTTTTGCTAATTTATTGGATGAAAAGTGATATATCATTGTTGTTTTAATTTGCTCAATTGTGATTACTATTTAGACTAAAGATCTCTTTATATCCTTTTAGGCATTTACTTATCATGCTTTATGAAAAAAAGTATTCATAATGTTTTCCTATATTGCTACTGGATTTTTTTGTCCCCTTCTGTCTCCTCCCATACCTTTGTCTGTGTGTGTGTGTGTGTGTGTGTGTGTGTGTTTAGGAGGGGTGCTCAGATATGTTGGATATCCTAGATAGTAATTCCTGGTTGGCATTAAACTTTGCAAATGTCCTCTCCTTTTCTTTCACTTTTCTCTTAACTTTTTAATACTCAGGTCCTTTCTAAAGCCATTCTCTTATTTTTCAAATTAAGAGAAAGAGTTTTCCCATTATCCCTTTAAGTATTTTCTTCTAGTTATTTTAATTTTTCTCCTTCTGGAAAATACTATTATTAACACTTCTCTACTCCTTATCTCTTAATTTTAGTTTTGACATATATATATATATATATATAAATCTTTCTTGTTCTTTCCTGGGAGAGTTTGTCAATTGGAGCAATAAGTGTCCATGCTGCTATTTATACTAACACTTGTGATTTTATTTCTTGCCACTTGGTTATTTTTAAGAATTATTTGTTAGTGTTATATTCTGCTAATAACTTCTCTTTGTTTTTCAGGACAACCAAGCAATTTCAAAGTGAATTTATAAACATGATTCTGACATTTGTTAAAGGAAATGTATAGTCAATATCAAGTATGCCTATATTTTAGTGTATTTAGTATGATATGGGCGAGGATCTGTGAAAGAAAGGATGCCTATAGACCTCAAGAGATCAAACTCTTCTTGCTCCTAATAGAGGCAGAATGTATTGTAAAAGGAGCTAGCAAAGTAAAAACTAGGGGCTACAGGATTGCACAGTGTGGCAATAATAACTTGTGATATTAAAGAAATTAAAGAAGATTTTTTGAAAAGTCTCTGTTTGAACAAAGATTGTATGGGTGGAGGGGAGGAGACTTCTGCCTTCAATAACTGTCTAGTAGAGGGCAACCCACTGCAGTATTCTTGCCTGGAAAATTTCCATGGACAGAGGAGCCTGGCCGGCTACAGCCCATGGGGTCGTGAAGAGTCCTGTAGGACTGAGACGGACAGACTGAGCACACACATACCCACAATGGCTATCCAACCACAAGGTTTACCCGAGTCCCAGTGTTTGCACCAGTGTTTGCAAATACACACATTTGCCTGATGATGGGTAAGTATTGAACACGACTGAGCGACTGAACTGAACTGAATAAATGTCAGAATGCTTTTTAAATGCTCAGTTCAGTCCCTCAGGCGTGTCTGACTCTTTGCGACCACATGAACTGCAGCACACCAGCCCTCCCTATCCATCTCCAATTCCCGGAGTTTACCCAAACTCATGTCCATCGAGTCGGTGATGCCATCCAGCCATCTCATCCTCTGTCGTCCCCTTCTCCGCCTGCCTTCAGTCTTTTCCAACATCAGGGTCTTTTCCAGTGAGTCAGCTCTTCGCATCAGATGGTCAAAGTATTGGAGTTTCAGCTT